TCCCCCAACCAGTTATTTTTAAAATTAGTGCCGCACCTGCTTACTTTCAGTTACATTACACAGGCCACGTATCACTGGTCTCTTGATGGTTCTGCAGGTATTTAAACACTTTGGGCTTAAACATACGATATGTTGATGAGGGGGGGGGGAATCTGAAAGGTTTCATATTTTAAATTACGTCCAAAGGAGCGTTTTTTTAACATTTTGTGTGTTACCTTTAATTATTAAATACACTAACTACCAATAAGTATTTGGACACCTATGCAAATGACGATATCTGCGGTCCTAAGTACGTCACGGACACCGCCGGTATATATCGTGTAGGAAACAGCATCGGCTTTAGTCGCATGCAAGATGCCTCGCAGTTCGGAGCTCTCTGATTTCGAGAAAGGTATAATTATCGGGTATCACAAATGTGGCCGATCCTTAAGGGACATATCTAGCGATCTTAATTACCCAAAATCGACAGTGGCCTATGTTATTAAGAAGTGGAAGGTGAGCGGTGATTGTCGGAATGTGCCCGAGTCGGCAGACCAACGAAACTGGGAGATGGAGACCGACGAGTGCTGTCCAGAGAAATTCGGAAGAACCTCACCCAACCGATGGCCCTCATCCGCGAGGAGTTTCAACAGGCATCCGGCAGTATTGTTTCAATGAATACCATCCGTAAGGAAGCACATCTGCTTGGTTTTTCATGGTCGTGCTGCTGCCCATAAGCCTTTGATCACAAAGTCCAACCGCGCTGCTCGGTTAATGTGGTGCAAATCACATCGAAATTGGACCGTAGATCAGTGGAAACGGGTTCTTTGGAGTGACGAATCAAGGTTCACCTTTTACCGTTCGAATGGCAGGGTCTGGGTCTGGCGTCTACCTGGAGAACGTCTCCTGCCAGAATGTATTGTGCCAACAGTCAAGTTCGGCGGAGGTGGAATTATGGTCTGGAGGTGTTTCTCTTGGTATGGGCTAGGACCTTGCTCCCCATTCATGGTAAGCTCAACTCCGATGCCTACTGCACTATTTTGGATGACAATGTGCTTCCTACGTTGTGGCGGTTTTACGGGTTGGACCCTTGTTACTTTCAGGTCAACAATGCCAGTTGTCATGTTTCGACGTTAACCATGGCTTGGTAAGGGGCCAATGGAGTTCATCGAATGGACTGGCCTGCCCAGAGTCCAGACCTGAACCCTATCGAGAACCTCTGGGACGAGCTGCATCGCCGAATTCAGGGGTGCACTACCCGTGCAAAATCGGAGAAGGAACTTCTATGTCTTCTCCAAGTCGGGTGGAATAAAATACCGCTAGCTGTCATACAAAGACTTGTGGAAAGTAGGCCCCGGAGGGTCCACGCTGTAATTACCTCTCATGGAGGCTCTACCAACTATTGATTTTGAATAAAGTTAGTTTTTCTTATCTATCACAGGTGTCCAAATACTTATTGATAGTCAGTGTATTATGTTCTTCGCACATAAACCATTAAATTCAGTTCAAGAGCAATATCGCAAAATAATTTTTAATTCAAGATATCTTTAGAATTTCCGATACACAGTCTTACGTGCCCGAGATAGAAATGTTTTTTCTGTACAACGTTGCCATTGCTAGCTTTGAAATCCTTGAGTTTGTTAATGAAAAATTCGTTAAAGTTTTAGAAAATATGAAATCGATAATAAAACGAATTCCAAATTTCAAATTTGGGCTTCCGAATGCCCATATTCGCAGCAGGATTACGTCATTCAAAATTCGATGGCTCTATGTACCGTTGTTTTATCACAGTGCGAGAAATATACATACATTTATGTAGATTTTTCATTATTTAATTTCTTCAAATGTAATACAGGGCGATGATATTTGGTGGCAACAGTTTGAAAAGTGAAACGGGCATTCAGAATGATTCGACGCAAAATCGCAAAACGAAAACAATAGTCCCTCAGGGACTAAAAAGACTAGCATAATTTTATTATCAAAGTCAATTATTTGTTTATTGATTCAGGTTTATTTAGAAATTCGATAAATAAATGTCGTTATATTGAAAAGTTAAAATAAAAAAGAGAATAAAAATTTTTTTTAAGTAAACTAAACCTGGTTTTTTTTTTTTTTTTTTTTTTTTTTTTGTCTTATTTAGATATTTTGAGATCCGGCCCTTTAATGGGATACTTTCCTCCCTACCCCTCTGTTTCAGTTTACAAAATAGTATCGAAAAGCCATATCCGTTGAGTATTACACTTTCTTTTGAAATTTGTGAATTTGACGCTTGCCAATTCCCATGTTAAAAAATGTCTAGCTGCAATGAAATGTTTTCCTTTTAAGGAAATTCGATTTATTTCTGTTATAGAAAAGTAGCATTTCATTTCAACTAGACATTTTTAATGTTATCGGTATACTGTTTAGAAACCTTCAATCTACTGTTTAGAAAATGCAGTTTTTCAGTTTTATTTAATAGAATTTTTCATCGTTTCTTATTTATTTAATTTGAGTTTATGAATTAAATCTACAAACTAATTCGAAACATCATTATTGAACGTTAATTAAACACAATTATTAAAACTTGATTTCAAACATTGATTCGAAACGAGCCCTCATGTTTTTGCCTGATGTGAGAAATTTAAACTCCACGCACATATGTAAATTAACGAAATACGAAATTTCGAAAACCTTTTCCTTCATACTAACGTAAAATAAAAGTATGTGCAATCATAAGCTTGGGATTACGTTTGAAATAAAGCATATTTGAATGAGTAAAATAGATATAAAATGAAGTTTCGCCGCGTATATTTGAATAAGTTCAAAATACTTTCCGATGGAGTTCATGCGTTTGGTGCTGCCATCTACTGACGATATTCCTAATTATATCTTTTTGAGGTCAATATGATTACGAAAACGAATCCCATCTCTTCTACTTTATATATTATCCTTAAAATTTTCTCTAAAGGTTTAAAAAATTGTAATGTAAATGTATGAGAAACTTCATTCCTCAGTTATGTTAATGAAATTTTAAGAAACAACTAATTATTAATATATCGATTTAAAACCAGTTGAAACAAAGGTGTGAACAGAGTCTGAAAATTTGTTGCTTTACTATTCAAGTATTTATCGATTGACTAATTAATTGAAGTATATAAACCTTAAATATTTCTGACAGATATATATCCTGTTCTTCATTGCCGTGCTGGAATGAAACGATGTATCAAGCAATTTTTTAGTTAATGTTCAGTATCATAATTGAATTATATATATAGATATATATATATATATATATATATATATATATATATATATATATACTGAAACTGAACAATGTTTAATTTGATATTACAATAAAGTTATATTTAAAATATAGATATATAGATATAAATTTGTGTATGGATACATTTTTTGCGTTTCTCTATCAAACTTTTAGTTGATATCCTTAGAACAAATAATACAGTGTTAGTAATATGCTACATACTATGCTGCTACATACAATAACAATATGCTACATACAATAAGACATTTTAAAGGAGCTTCATCACTTTATTTCTATTTTTATTTATTTATTTTATTTTCAATTTCGTGCACTGCTAAATAATTTCATCAGTAAGACCAAATCTATATCGAATTTTTATTTCGGAAGACAAAATAAATTATACAATTAAACACAATGAAAGAAACCTCTCTTCGAACTGTATATCATTTTTATATTTCATGGATTTGGTGCTTTCGAAAATGGCAAAAGAATAAAAAATGGAACGTACTATAGAGAAACAGAAAATAAAAAAATAGAAAATATTTGCCACTTTATTTGAGAGTATTTATTGAGAACTACCCACACAGACTCTGCAATAGGAAATAAAACATATTTTGTCTCAATTAAATCTTACCTTTATTAAATAAATGCAGAAGATTTCAAAAACGTCAATTTATAATGGAATAGATCATAGGATTTTTTTCTCTCTCCCCCCGTGGCATTGCTGTTTAAAATAGCTAATTTTATGCTCTATGTTAGTTTCTGGAAGAATTATGCTTAAACTAATAAATGGCTTGTGATTGTTTAATTCCCTGTTTTAAACTAGAATTTGCTTACCGCAATCTGATTGAATTTTTAAATTTTTTTTTAATTTTAAAAATATATAAATTTTTTTTTAAACTCTAATGATAAATTTTTCAAGGTACTAAAGTATAATTAAAGATGTAGTAAGTTATATAAAATTGTGGGGTGCTTATCATACCCAAAATGATGTGTGGTGGAGGATATGTACGTCAAGAATTAAGTTTCTAAAAATAAAATGTTTAATTATCTCCAGCCACGTCCGCTAACTTTTTCCTTCTCCGTTACGCATCTTAGTATTCTTAGCTTTGTCCTACGTAGATTGATTCTACGTAGCTTTGTCCTTCTCTAAATGCAGTAAAGAAGCGATCCAGGAGAACGCATTAAAAGTTAGATTTCGCTATTTGTCCTTTTTTTTTTTTTTTTTTTTTTATTTGGCATTGACAATATTGCATTGAATATTTTTGTTATGTAAAATACTTCTGTGATATCAAGTATATGATTAGGACCAAAGATTTCGAAAATAAAGGTCGGATAAAACTTCTAAGCCAGGTTAGGGGTATGTATATATATATATATATATATATATATATATATACTATTGTATTGCTGCTTGCAATAAAAGCAGAGGTGCACAACTGTATGTTATAGTAGACTCATATACAAAATTTCAATGTTCTACTGCTAATCATTTTTCAGTTAATGCGGGATACATGAGGGAGTATGTACGTACAAACATCACAAAAAATCCCTAAAAAAATTGTCCAAATTATTCGAGAACGGTCAAAAGAGATACTTCCTTTGAAATATGATAGTGGAAATTTTCGCGGTTACAGTACTTCCTTTCCTTCGTACAAGGAAGTATAAAAATTATGGTATTTCAAAAAGTAGTTGACAGTTTTCGAGTTACCAAAGCTGGTTAATTCTTAAATATGAAGTTGATGAATGATATTAAACACTTAACTTTTTTCTTTTGCAGGACCATCAGATAATTTATTCTTATCTCCATGGGTTGGAGGCTTTGTCATCACTTAGGGAAGCTTCACTTCGGACTCTATGCAAAACTATCCGCTACGAGGCTTATGAAGCCAACGATATTCTCTACTGGTAAGTAGATTTTTTACTCATTCTTGTAACAGCGCGGAACGGTTAGAAAAGAAATTTGGACATTATTGTATTATTAGTTTGCAGTGTTTCGTCTAATTTCATACATTTTCATACAATTTCTTGGACAGAAAAATACCTTTTCGTGAAAAATAAAAAATGAAATTAAGAAAAAAAATCTTGAAGATTCAGATCTTATTATCGCTTTAGAGGGTTTGTCAATGTTTTTTATGCACTTGCTGAGTTTGCAGTTTACTAATCTGTCCTCGGAGGCATTCCTGCTGATATAAGTTTTTGTAATTTTAACTTTGATTAAACCTAACTTTCTCTGTATTTACGCTACATAAAATTCAAGAGGAAAATCACAAAATTTTTAAAAGTAGGACATCTTTAGGTTTCCGATACAGCTCTCGGTTCACTAAATAAACATTTTTGCAGTTCAGATTTTGAATCACAGAGGAAAATTTGAATGTCTGATCGAAGCTCGAAAAGACTAAAACTTTGCCTTACTTTGATAACCACCTTACTTCGGAATGTAACAAAAGCGTTTCATGTTCACTACTCATCTCTTGGTATAAAATCGTAAATATTCTTGAATTTAAAGCTCGGCTTTTAATAAAATTAACAATTTTCACAGATTGATTGAAACCAATTTTTCAGGTTTTCGTGGATTGTTTTGAGTGAATTTAGTTTCAGGTGCGACTTTCTTTATTTGAGAAATAACACTGGAATGTTTTCCTGTTAAAGCCCGAGCTCTGTCTCTACGGAGAGCTGTAAGAGTACTTATTCCAAGGATATGATTCTCAGACATAAAATTGTCGATTACTTTGAAAATTTCTTTGCAGTTGCACTATCATGAAGTGATTCACAAAGTAAATACTCTTCGACAATTCGTGTATCTTCTGCGAAGCGTATGCAAACTAATAATTGAACTAAGTTCGTTCTATCAGTACTTTCATCCAATTGCAATGCGAAATACTCACTGTGTTTTATTTTTTGAATGTCTCTTTTATGGAATTCGCCATTTTATGAATTCTTTGACTTACTGTACCATTTGATAACGAGATATTATTAAGTCCATTAGCCGCTTTCTCGTTGAATAATATCAAAATGATATGTTTAGCTGCTGGTCATATAAGGTTTTCTTTAATAACCTGGCCCAGTCTTGGCAATTCTTGGGTTTACTAGGTAACTAGCTTTCAGAGCTTTTTCACTTGATTATTTGTTTACTATTTTTGAACTCCGATAATTTCCTCTTAAAATGTTCTTTAGATTTATCCTTTAAACTTAGGATATCTTTTAAGAACCGATGGTTACATACTTTGACTGGAAAATAGTTCACCGCAAATAGCACATTGAGCTTGAGAGCCTATTTCATCTTCATTCTAAGTAAACCCAAAAGATAAATAACTTTCATCACATTTTCTATAAATAATTTTTCTTTTCTTTTCAGTATTCTTAGCACTAGTAGATTGTCCTGGATTCATCACCTGTGAGTCATCACTTTTCCCCTTAGTCTATTCTAGCAATTTTTTCATTTTGAAAATCTAGGTTTCTTTTATTATTTTTTCACAAATATTTAAATACACAATATATTACGAGTTCTTCAAACGACGATATTCTCAAATCGTATAGAAAAGTAAGGAATACAAAGCATTAAGAAGGAAAAACACCTACTGTTAGAGACAGTAAATCAACGTAAAAAAATTAATTCTAATTGAAAATAGAGCTATAGGAGCGCGGAAATGGTGGCGACATAAGTGTAGACATGCTAATAAATCGATCAACTCTAAAAGAATTAATGAGGTATTATTATCTTTTTATAAGAACTGATATTTATTTCCTATTAAATACAATATCTATTTCTATTAAACTTTTTAAAAATATTCATTGGTGACGAATTTTATTATTCTATGGCTAAAAGAATATTTGTGAAAATAAAAACGGATTATTTTGCTAAAGTCTGTGAGTGGCTATTGACATTGAACAAAACTCAGATCGCATAAATTTACAATTGATAGAGAAAAATATTATACAGGATGTTGGGGTTGTGGTGTAGTGGACGAAACCGCTACGCAAACCCTGGGTTGTGAAACAGGGTTGAAATGAACTTCTAACTCTAGTTTTAACAATAACATGAATTTTAATAAGATGAAAACCTTAACAGTTGCCAATCTTGACAGTATGGGACTTGTATAGTCCCGCAATTTCAGAATTTTCTTAGCAGGAAAAATGCCCTAACGCATTTATACACGAGGAATGATCGTTCTTAGCCGGCCAACATGCCCATAGCTCTAAACAGGAAAGTTCTTTTTCTTCTCAGGAAACCACCTTATATACCTCCCTGTGTTTACTTGCGCTGAATTCCTTGGGGAAAGATTCTTTCACTCATACATAACAAAGTGTCCATCCCCTGACCCTGATGAAAAGATTTCTTATATCTCTTTGTCCACTAGAGTGACCCACAAGGCTGCAACCGGAATCATTAATAAAGGCACAGGATTTCACCACGGATATGAAACTATTGCACTCTAAAATCACTCATCCTAAACAAAGAACATTTATGCGACCTTATCATAGGGTATTTAATTTTTGAATTTAAAAAATACTTTGTTTCTTTGCGTACTACCAATTTTACTTTTGTGTACTACCAGTTGAAAATGGCTGGTATATACCTTCTAACGATTTCGAGACATGGAAGGTACTAGAAATTTCTCGGCGGACGGGGAAAACTATATAAGACCGGAGAGAGCATCTGTCAGGTTCATTTTAGAGCTTGAGAGATCACTGTGCGAACTTATGCAACTGATGTTTTTTATATTGTGTTGTGTTTAATGTTCTTAGCAGTTTGAAGTGGTAGCACCTGATAGTACTCTGTCATACTCAGAAGAGCTGTACGAGTACTTTTTGAAAAGTTGCAGACCTGTAACGATTTCTTTTGTAAAAATAAATTTTATCAAGCTATCATTGGCTCTGTGTGCATTCAATACATTACGAACTCGTACTCATACAGCAGTATTTTAATCTTTTGATTGCACAGATTGGTTTTTGTATACTGTTATAATACTTTATACTGTTTTATTTATGCATTTGTTTATTTTAGGAAAATATTTTTAGGGTATATTTTTGTGCGTAATTGAATTTTTGGACCTAAGGTTTTCACAGAAATACTCATTTGTACAGAGATCTATCAATTATAAATCTAACAACATTTAAATTGTTAAAATAGCTCAGATGAAATGTAAGGTGTGGGCGAAAACGTTCCTGACAAGCTAGTCGCCCAGATTTTAACGTAGTGATTTCTTGCCAATTTGGTGACTTTCTGGAAGTTTCCATAAAAAGCATTTCGAAAGTCTTGTGAGCGAATTTTCCAGAAGCCCATGAAATACGACATAAATACGAGTGCTAGAATCAGGATCCGTTAGTTCTTTAATCAATTTTGAGTGCTTCAGAGAGATTGCCTTCCAAGTACTAATTGCATTGCGTTCTAGAGTTTACTCTGGAAATGGTATCGGTAATGTATGATATTTCGCGAGTGCAAAGAAGGTTTGCCGTATATCGGCGTTCTCTTTGAAATATTTGCGTTAATTTATTTTGCAGTGTGTCATTATTAATTGCAATAAATTGTCAGTTTCTTCCCTCTCGTCCAGAGAGATTATTTAAGGAAACATCCACAAAAAGTATGGTAGCCATTTCTGCATTTCCTATAATTCCTCTGTTTCTATTTGGAGAATATCCTTACTACTACTACACAAATAAGTCCGCCTTCTCGTCTCGGCATGCGCCACTGACGTTTTAATCCCATGCGTTTGTAATTGGCTTTCTCACAATAAAAACAAGTGGCTTCTCCAATACGATACTTCTGTTTTTCAATAATACTAGTATTAAAAGTCGTGTACAATTTTATACTACTTTTTAACATCATATACTCCAACACCATCAGTATCTCTTCTGTTGGTAGCGCCAGTGTTACTTATATCGCAGAAAATAGCACACATAGTATTCTTACGTATTTTATCCACCATTTTACTTGTAGGTGCCTCTCGTACGTAACAGCATTTATTACTTTGTCCTAAGACGAAATAAATATTTCTGTTAATCTCCGAATTTTTTTTCTTTTTCTCTCTTTTATTCTTTAACACTGCCTGATAGATTATCTGCTTTGGCACCAGTGATCTGACAGAAGAATAATCATCGAACATTCTTCAATTCCATTTACACTTGAAGAAAGTTTGAGAGCTTTGGATTAGCCGATATAAATGATTCCTTTGCAGTTTGGAGTCAATCAAGCCAACCTGTTCGGCCATAGCTCGAACAGCATTAATTGCGATCCTCTCCGTAGAGAAAGAATAGTGACTTCTTTTGCTTCCTGTACTGCAAGATTTTAAAGGCGCTTAGTAGAACTTTCAGTATCGCAGAATCATCTCCCCCCCGGGTACGAAATCTAAAATAAAAAAAATTCTGATGTGGTCATCACATGATTTCCTTGTACGGCCGTTTTGCGGAATGGTCACTCTGAGTGAGGATGCAGAAAACTGAAAAGTAGCTGGTAAAAATATTTAAATACTTGAAAAAAATATTTATACAGAAGGTGCATTTTTAGAAGGATTTTGATGAAGAATTTTGTTTTCTTTTTTTTTTAAAGCAGATATTTTGGAATAAAAATTTCTGGCAACAATTTATTATCTGAAATGAGAAATACCATCTGCTGCTTTTAAATTTATTTTTCATCCAAAATTTCGCATGTAAACAAGCTTTGGATTGAAGGATATGCTTTTGATATTCTTCAATTCCAAAGATAAATACTACTATTCCACAGTTTAAAAATGTGAAATGCACGGTATTAAACTTTCAAAATGCAAAATATGCAATATTAATCGAAAAGGGGAATGCTGATAATCATTACTTCCACATCGAACGAATGTCTAAAAAAGATACGTACTGTTCCTAATGTTTCTAAAGTTATATCATTGGTAGCAAGAAAAAATTCGCCGATACAGATT